TTGAGTCTCTTAGGCAGTTATTCTCGCCTTTTGGGGCAAAATTCGGCATCAGATGTTTATTTTGGAGCAGATTTCTGACAGGTGTAATTGGAGTTATAATATAGTTATAATTGTTTTAGATTGTGAGCTGTGTCAAGGAGAACACAGGCATTCAGAATTGTTCCTTGATGCTGGTGGAATTGCACAAATAAATTGTAGTACTGAGCCAAAACAAGTTGGAAAGAGACCAGTTTGCTCAGGAGCGTGCAGAGCCCTGAGGTGTGGTGTGTGGGAGAGAGGATGGGATTGCAGGTGTCAGTGCTACAGTGTAGCCAGTCAGTTCCCATGGCCTGAAATGATGTTTTGAGTTCATGTCTCTTCTCTGAGATATCTCATGGAGACAGCCAGATGCATTTCTGATCAGGCTTCACAGGTAGAAGGACACTTGGGAGAATTTTTTTGCTAAGATTTAGCATGAAGTATATGGAACTTCCTCATTTTGCTGAAGGCAGCTCTGTGCAGTGCTGATGGTAATTTACCAAGTATGTCTTTATACTGGGAATAGCAATAATATTATTTCTTTTCTAACATGTCTGGTTTTCCTGGGTGAGAAAGTAACACAGTCACAGTTGTGCCATTCATGTTGATATTTGAGTGGTGTTTTTTATGTTGTGGATGCTGTATATCAGGCAAGAATACATTTACTTAGTTAAAATATTTCTGTGGAAAAGTTTGTAAAATATTTCTGTGATTTTAAATAGCAGAACATCTGGATGCTTCTTTCCGTTTGTCTTTGCTTCCTTGCAGTTTGTCCTCTCTTGTGTGGTAAAAAGAGTGAGTAGATCTCCCTCAAACCATTGTAGATGGAATATAGGGCCAGGTGAATGTAGCTCAAAGGGTCAGGCTTTGGCTTTAAAGGGCTGAAGTTGTCATTTTGTGCTTGCAATCTGAAAGATTTACAATGAGACATTCAAGGTTAGTTGGTGGCACAGAGATAAACACCAGTGGTGAGCTTCAGCTGAAGTAGTGCTGATATTCTCTTTGCAAGTTACAGCTCAGTTTTGGCTGCAGGTATGGTGAGATTTGATTATCAAGGAATGGGCTTCACGTGCTGCTGTCCTTCCCTGCAGGTGCCATTGAGAAGCAGAAGCTGGTGTATATCCTGAACAGAGATGCTGCTGCTCGACTCACCATCTCCTCCCCTCTGGAGGCCCACAAGGCCAATACCTTGGTCTACCACGTGGTGGGAGTCGACGTGGGGTTTGAAAACCCAATGTTTGCTTGTCTGGAAATGGATTATGAGGTGAGAAGAACTTCATCTCCCTTTGCTGTGTTTTGACCTTTGTTGTTCCTGTTCTCTTCTTCATCTGTCACTGGGGAGTGTTGGCTGCTTCTGCTCTCTGGGACAGTTATCATTTTTTACAGGCTTACTGGCTTTTTGTCTTGCCTTCAGCCAGAATGAGCAAGTCTCTTCTGTCATGGTGATTGATTCTTTTTGCTTTTCAGCTGAAAATATGCATGTTTTCTTGGTCTGAACTTCTCTTCTGCAGCTGCTAGCAAGTCTTTTCGCCCCCATTCTGTTGTTATTCAAAACTGTTGTCCAACACATCAGCTTTGCTCCTCCTTTTAATCCTTTTTTACAAAGGCACCTCCATATGCTCTCTTTTAGGAAGCAGACAACGATCCAACAGGTGAAGCTGCAGCCAACACACAGCAGACATTGACATTTTATGAACTGGACTTGGGTTTGAACCATGTTGTCAGGAAATACAGTGAGCCCCTGGAAGAGCACGGCAACTTCCTCATAACAGGTACCACCCACAGAGTTGGTTTTTGCATGGGCCTGCTTGGGTCCCATTTCCCAGGAAAACACTCTTTCAATAGAAGATATAAGTCAATACTCTTTATATCTTAGGAGTTGTTTCAATTGTAGTCTGAGCCATTAGTATAAATTAATTAATTAACCTTGCAGTCAGGTAATGAGGGGTGGTTCACATGGAAATACACAAGTATTCATAGAAGCAGCTGCTGTTTGAGTGCTCCTGTAAGTAGCTGTAGCAATGCAAAAGGACTTGGTTAATGTGTAGATGCTGTTTTACTCTCTTTCATGGGATTCCCTCTGCTGACGGCAGTAGATGAATCCGTGGACTAAAAGCCCACTTGGAGGGGTTGGATGCAAAGCCAATACAACACCTTCAACCAGGGAAACTGCTGCAGGTTCCTCTCCAAGCACAAAAAGTGCTGAGCTGGGAGAGCATCTTTGTATACTTGCCATGTTGCATCTGCTGTAGGCAGCTGTGAGACAGACACCAAGTATTGTGCTGAATCTGTTTGATAATGTGATTTGTTACACTGATATCACAAAGTATGGCTTTAGAAATGCTTCTATTACCTAAAGATGTTAATTCATCATTCATCTTCGGATTTTTCTAGAAGCAAACATACCAGAAACTGAAAGGTTGTGTTTATCTGACAAGTTGCTAGTGTGGTATTTTGGGCATGTCATGGCTTTCTAGATAAAAAAAAAGCCAGGAAGGACAAAACCTAAGCAATTTGTCAGAAGCTGCATCCTTCCAGATCCCTGGTTCCATCTGCCCTGTTCTCATGGTGGCACAGGCAAAAGACTGTACTCAGTCTTTTGTCTTTTCAATAAGAGCAGATTCATATATGCAGGGTGATGGAGAGTGTTGGAAATGGTGCTGCATTAAAGAAAACCAAATGTTCTGCAGGCAACCAGTCAGATCTATGGTAAAGACTTTTCTCCTAATAATTTTCTTTCAGTTCCTGGTGGTTCTGATGGCCCCAGTGGGGTGCTGATCTGTTCTGAAAACTACATTACTTACAAAAACTTTGGTGACCAGCCTGATATCAGATGCCCAATTCCCAGGAGACGGGTGAGAATTTTTTAAGATTATGAATGCTTGGAATTTGCCTTTCAAGGTTAAGGGCACCAGAAAGGTTTTAAAGTAAGAAAAAAATGAGTTAAAAACATGTTGGCTTATCTGCCTCACTGGCTGTGTGTTATCTGAGAGGGAGAATGGAGGTGGGCATAGCCTGAAGTGATGAGTGTGGTTCATGTCTCTTCTCTGAGATTTACACTGGAGATACTCCAAAGACTCTGATCAGGCAGCACTGTCAGTGCAAGGTAGGATTACTTGAGATGCTGAACAGTGGCAGTTGTAGCTGCAGGTGAATTCAACAGCTGTTCTGTTGCATCTAAGGCTGCTTCCTCTCCCTTTGGTATTAGGAATGCAGTGCTTTGAGCACCTGCCAAGGTGCTCAAAACCAGCTGTGTGTGGGTTACAGCCCTTTCCTGTGGTTTTGGCTTTGATATGTGAGAGTTGCCTGGAGAGGAAAGTAAAACAGATGAGGGATGATGCTCAGGCACAGTGTCCCACAGCTGTATTTCCTTCTGGGGCAGAGATGTACCAAGGGTGACTCCAGGTTTAACAAAGGAATGTGCTTTGTGTTAAAAACCTTCTTACTTACTGTGAGCTCTTAAGGCACCTGTGCAATGGAAATACTTCAGTCAGTGAAATCACCTCTGTGCTTGTCAGGTAATTCCACCAATGACCTCTGTCTTTCCTGACAGAATGACTTGGATGATCCAGAGAGGGGTATGATCTTTGTCTGCTCTGCTACACATAAGACCAAGTCCATGTTCTTCTTCCTGGCCCAGACAGAGCAGGGAGACATCTTCAAAATTACTCTGGAGACTGATGAAGACATGGTAAGCACCACATGAATGCAGAAGCATTAATTGAGAGGAGTTCTTAGTCAGTTACTTTCCCTAAGGTGATACATTTTTACTGTTGTGAGTTTAACTGTGTAAGGGAACTTGCTTTATGTGATTTGTAAAAGAGTTAACACTGGTCACCACTGTGGGTATTACTCATAAAGAGACACAGTGCAAGGTTTGCAAAATCCTCTGAGGATTAAACTGCAGTCATTTGATCATACTTAAAATGTTCTAGAGGTGGTCTTTTTTTTTTAAAGAATATAAACTGTGGTCCATGAACCTCCTGGAGAGTATTTCAGTGACTTGTTCTGTGGAACTTACCTTCCCTGGATTTCAGCAAGTACCTTCTCGTCTCTTAATTGAGTGTTTACATATCGCAATCAATATTTTTGCAAGATGAGGTAGTTAGCTTGGCACAGCTGGTCTGTGAGTTGAAATAACAGGCTTGCAGTGGCTTGCTGCTGCTTGTTTTAGTATTCTCTGAAAAGTTCTCTGCTGCAGTGTGATTGGTTGGGCTTTTTCAGTAAATGTTGTACAGTAATTTCTCCATCTAAACATGTCATATTTGGTACAGGGGATGATTGTGTAGCAGGCACCAAGCCTGCCAGAGTTCAAGGAGTGTTTGGACAGTGATCTCAGACATTGTGTGATTTTTGGGGGTGCTCTCTGTAGAGCCAGGAGTTGGACTTGATAATCCTTTTTGGTCCCTTCCAGCTCGGAATACTCTGTGATTCTGCGATGTTCAAGTGCCTGAAGATTGTCCTTGGATGTTTCACCAACAGCTGTTGTGACCATATCAAATTTAGAAATTTGCTTAGGACAGTTGTTTTTCTAATGCTGGAGAATTGGTGGTGTTCTGTGAAGCAAATTTCTCTTAGGCAGCTTGCCATTTTTACAGCTTTTGTTTTCCAAATTGATTTACAAAAGGCAGAAAGTCTTGGAATAAAACAGACAGCCTGGCTTGTGTGTTCAAATAATCTGTTGGATTTTGTGATTTATAATCTGGTGCCCCAAACTACTGATGTTTTAAGCCTGGCCTGCTCTTGTTCATTTCTTTGGAGAAGATGGCTAGGCAGATGTTTGTTATTAAATCACACATGGAGCTCCATTTAGCATCATGTTCACATCTTCATCTGCTTTCAGGTAACAGAGATTCGACTGAAGTACTTTGACACTGTTCCTGTTGCTGCTGCCATGTGTGTGCTGAAAACAGGATTTCTCTTTGTGGCATCTGAATTTGGAAACCAGTGAGTAAACAATTTGACAGCAGTGTTTTTCCCCTGAAGCAGAGTGGTTCTGTTCAGGCCTGCAGACTGACCCTTGAACTTACTGTGCATAGAAAGCCAACACCTCTGATTTAATGGGTAACTTGGTGCTTTGTTCAGAGGGCTTGAGAAGAATAGTTGGATTAGACTATGAATGGGGGAATTTTCTTGTTGTTTGAACTCAGATTAGATGATGAAGTGCAGAGAACAAAAGGTTACTTGCTGTTGCAGCAGATTTTGGAAAAATTGAGCACTTGCTGTTTATGTAGGGTTCATCACATATCAGATGAGTTATCTTTTCAATTAGTTTGATAGTTTTGAATTTTTATGTGTATGGCCCACTCAGAAGTAAATTATTAGTAGGTGTGTTCCTTTCCTTACTAGATGTATACTTAGGGCTTTCTCTTAATTCATGTTTGGACTTCTAAATACTCTAAATGGTCATGCACACCTTTGAAGATTAGCTTAACTGTGTCTGAGGGAGGGATTCACAGGAATGGAGATTTTCCTGACTGTATCTGCAGTCAGCCACCTGAGGGAGCCCCAGCCAGTTTGCTGGACTGAATCTGAATTGAGGAAGCCATATTCGAGCTGTATTAAAACCAGGAAATAACTCATTCTGTCTTTCTGTGGGATTTTTTTTTTCTTCTCTGAAGTTTTATTTGTTGTTTTATTGAGCTCATAAATTGGAATAGGGAATGTGGTTAAAATAGGATGATTTAAAAGGTGAGAGTATTCCAATAAAATAGACAAATGTGGAGATGAAGTCCTAGCCATTGACCTTGCTTTTGGCCTCAGCTGTCAGTTGCTGCTTTGGCTTAAACACAAGAATATCTAAAAGGCTCAAGGGTAAACAAAATACTGAAACTCTGGGATACCTTGCCAGTGACAGCTGCAAATGTGAAGGCCTGAAGCTGGGAGGTTGTGAGGGGATTTCTTGTTCATGTGTTTTGGGTTTTTTTTATTTCATTGCAGGCCTCTGATTTTTTTTTTTTTAATATTTTGTAACCCAGAAGACAATCCTTAAAATCAAATATTAATAACTGAATAATGTAGGGTTAGATTTCTTTCTTCCCCACTACCTGAATATCTGGTTAAGCCTTACTTAAAGAAGGCTCCATGAGCCTTGCTCTGAAGATGCTGACACACTTTTTTTCTGTCTCAAGTTACTTGTACCAGATAGCTCACCTGGGGGATGATGATGAGGAGCCAGAGTTTTCCTCTGCCATGCCTCTTGAGGAAGGAGACACATTCTTTTTCCAGCCTCGACCTCTGAAGAACCTGGTGCTGGTGGATGAGTTGGACAGTTTGTCTCCTATTCTGTGTTGTCAGGTATGTTGCTATCAGCAAGTTCCTGTCTGCCACGTGTGTAAGTGGAGTCAGCAGCTAAGCTATTCCAGGTTTCCAGAAATACTGCTCCAGGTAAAGACTCATGGAGAGGCACATCTGCAGAGTTCTCAGACAGCTGCCTGAGATTGGTACCTGGCCTGGTAGATTTGATTCCTGTGGCAATAAATGCATATCTGAACACCAGGTGTCAGCCAGTGATTCTGTGATGCTTCTCTGTTGACCATCAGACCAGCTGTTTGCAAAGAGTTTCAGTAAAAATTAACATTCAGGGCAGCAGCTGGAACACCCCATGGCATCTCCACAGCTTTTGGTGTTTGAAAAAACATTCTTAAAGCAGTAGTGTGATATATATATATATTTATTTATAGTTTTATTTTCACGTTCCATGGATGTTGTTTTGACATTTTTTCTCCACACAGATAGCAGATTTGGCCAATGAAGACACACCCCAGTTGTATGTGGCTTGTGGTCGGGGGCCCAGGTCATCCCTGAGGGTTTTGAGACATGGGCTTGAGGTAAGACATCCAACACTTCAGGAGAAAAACCTGAGAGATGAGGACAGTGCAAGGAAATCCTTGAAACAGAGCTGCTGAAATGAGCAGATTGTCCTTTTGCTCTAGTCTGGAGAGCTACTTTCTCTTGTTTCTTGAGGAATAGAAGGGTTGTATTGTGTATTCTTACAGTCTCAAAAGCTTTTTGTTTACTTGACTTCAACAAAACCTGCATTTTGTTTCTTCTAATACTTGAGTGTATTGAGCTGGAACATTCCTGGTGTCTGCCAGCTGCTGCTGCTCTCTGCTGGGGGTGGATGACCTTGTTTTGAAGCTGATCATCCACAGCAATAATGTTGCCATGTCATTGCTGACCATATTTTGCCCTGTAGCACATCTGGCACGGGCTGAGAGCAACAGAATTGGGAACTGTTAGTTTTTCTGCCCAGTTGTGGGAAAGCTTAAAAACCGCTCGTGGTTTGATTGCTTACTCTAGTAAAGTGTAAACATCTGTTTGCAAAAGAACCTTCTTCCTGTTTACTCTTAGGTATCTGAAATGGCTGTCTCAGAGCTGCCTGGTAACCCCAATGCTGTATGGACTGTGAGGAGACATGTTGAAGGTATGCAGTATTTTCCTGAAGCACAGGGAAGTCATAATGTTTTTGTGTGTGGTTTGTTTGTTGTTGTTTTCTGGTTTTCTGTCCAAGGAGATAGGAATGGTGCTGCGTGATGCTTGTGTGCCATCCTCAGAAATTGTGGGTTGAGTCAGCAGCCACCTGCTTATCTTAAAAAGCCACCCACCCTCTGGTCCCCTCGTATTGTCACACTTCCTTTGGACAAAGAAGCAGCTGCCTGCAGCTGCATCCATCACCCACTCTGCTGTGTCAGCTGTACATTTGCAGCCTGAAGCTGCTGAATTTCTCATGTGTTCCCACTTCCCATAAGTTTTTGCCCGTAAGTTCTTGCTCAAACATCAGCAGGCAGCAGCTATTCTTGTTGTTGGACTGTACTCACTATTCTTCATGTGTGTGTTGACAACTGCAGTAATCAGCTCTTTGTGAGAGAGTGGGATACAAATTATGGAACAAAGATGATAAATCAGCAACAGTGTTTGCATTTTATTACTTTCTTCTGTGCATATCTGAGAAAAAAACACTCTGGACTAGGACATACTCTCTATTCAAAAGCCAGCAGTGTGTGGAAGGTTTGTGATTCCAGAAAGATTTAAGATTTCAAGTTGGCAGAATATACTGGATTGGAGGTTTGGTTGGTCGTTGAGGTTTAT